CCTCGCCGTGTCCGGCTCGATGGTCTCGGTTGTCGCTTGTCATTTATTTTGAGGGGGAAAAGCATGGACGTTAGCCAGGCCAGTGTGGCTCAGTGGTGGAGCATCGACCGATGAACCAGGAGGTCAGGGTTCGATTCCCGGTCAGGGCACAGGCCCGGGTGGCACTCGATCCCCCACAGCCTGTGTCCCCTTTACCTGTGGCCTCTGGGTAAGCGGCCCCTCACCCTGTGGCCATTTGCTCTGAGGGGCTTCCCCCTTCCCCCCACCCCCCTCCACCCCCAGGGGACAGGGGTCCTGTCATTGCACCAGTGCCTCTGGGCGGGCGGCTGCTCTCTTTCTCCCGTGGGGGTCACTCCCAGCTGGTAACCTTGGCGGAGAACGCCCCGCCTCCCCTCTGTGGCTTAGATCACCAAGTACCATGATTTTTCCCGGGTCTGGCTTCCGCCGCCTGCCTCCCCGGGCAGATTTTGTTTTACCTCGAAAAGAAATTGATTTGGGGTCTGCAACCCGGCTGATTCCCGGTGCCGGTGCCTCCTGGTCCAAGTCCCTGATGCCACCCCCCCTCCTGGCAGCACCTCTCACCCCCTGGCGCCCCCATTCAGCGCACAGCACCCTCCGTGCTGCAGCCCCAGGGTCCTCAAACCAATCTGGGAGGGGCCGGCGGGTTGACCCCTTAGACAGAGGGGTGCAGACACCAGGTGGACACTCCGCCCCGCCCCCTCTTCCCCCAACCCCTGCCGGAAACGCCGTGAGCACTGAGTCTGTGCTGCCGTCCAGCTCCCGGAGGGCTCGGCCTGCGCAGTGCGGCCACCGGTGGCCGGTTCCTGTGACTGCAGGAGGTGGAGTCCTCCGTGCTGCCCTCAGCTGGATGGAGCGGAGCTGGACCGGGAATCGGGGGTCTTTGCAGCTGATGTCTGTGGCCCCCATCCTCACGAACCCCGGAGGCTCCGGGCCTCTGTGCATTCGAAACTGTGGCTGTCGGGGCATTAGCAGAGGCCCCCCCAGGGCACAGGCCGGGGGGCGGTGGGCAGGACTTGCACGCAGCCTCTAGGACCGGAGCCGGCTGCTGTCTCCTCCACGTGCTGCAGGAATAAGAGGGTGCCTCGCACCCAAACGGGCGGCAGACACAGGCCTGCGGGCGGGGAGACGCCCCGGAGCCGGCTCCGAATTCGATGAGGCAGAAGGTGCTGCAGCCCCGGCTCGTGTGGAGGCGGCAGGAAGGGACTGGGCGTTGCTTTGCCCCGTGCCCAGCCCTGTGCCAGGAGCTCATGGTCCAGATCCTCTCCAGTCCTCTCAGCTTCTGGGGGCTCCTCTTAAAACATATTATTTTATCGATTTTAGAGAGAGGGAGAGAGAGAGAGAGAGAGAAAGATCCATGATGACAGAGAATCATGGATCGGCGGCGGCCTGAACACCCCACTGGGGATCGAGCCCACATCCCGGGCCTGTGCCCCGACCGGGAATCGAACCGTGACCTCCTGGTTCCTAGGTTGAGGCTCAACCCCTGAGCCACACCGGCCGGGCCCGAGGCTGAGGGTTCAGAATGGTCAGGGGCATGTGTGCGGGGCTTTAGACGGCCTGAGGGGGGGGACCCCTGGGGAGACGGTCCGTCTGGGCCTCCTTGACCCCCAGGCTCCCCGGGATGAGTCCTGCTCGCTCACCGGCTTCCTCTCTCCTCCCAGACCCAGAGTCCCAGAGGAAGAGGACGGTGCAGAACGTCCTGGACCTTCGACAGAACCTGGAGGAGACCATGTCCAGCCTGCGCGGGTCCCAGGTGACCCACAGGTGAGCTGGGGAGGGGGCCAGGCCCTCCCCGCCCTGCGGACTCCCGTTCCCTCTGTAACCTCCCCCCGTGGGTCACATGGCGTCACCAAAGGCTTCCCTCTTCCCGCTCTGAGGCCTCCCTCCTTCTAGGGTTCTAGGTGCCCTCCCCACCCTGGGGACTTTCACTCGTTATTTTTACTGATTTCAGAGAGGAAGGGAGAGGGGGAGAGAGAGAGAGAGAGACATCAATGACGAGAGAGAAAAATCACTGATCGGCTGCCTCCTGCACGGCCCACACTGGGGATGGAGCCCCCAACCGGGGCATGTGCCCTGGCTGGGAATTGAACCGTGACCTCCGGGTTCATAGGTCAACGCTAGCCACTGAGCCACAGGCCCTCTTGTCTCTTTGGCTTGAAGCTCAGTGGGGCCCACACAGTGTCACCCCGACTCTGTGCCGTGTGGGTGTGCCCCTCACCCATCCCGGGGACCTCACAGCCTCCAGCTGCTTGAGCATCATCATCCCCCAGTAACGCCCCCTGCCCCCCTCCGAGTCCCCCCTGCAGGGCATCCTGGCCACAGCCTCAGTGACTCAGAACTTCCCCCACGGGCTCCTCGGGCTGCCCAGATGAGCTCATGCTGCAGCGCCAGGGGGTAGAGAGCGAGCAGCCGCCAGGATTGGGAAATTGTGGGCGTGCGAAATAGGAAGGCTCTGAGGGGGACAGGCCGCCGCTCCAGCTGGACGAGAAAGCGGTTCCTCCCCATCTCCTGGGGCTGGAGCATGAGAGCAGGACGGAGAAAGGCCTTCCTTAGCCCAAGTCAGAGCATGGGTACATTTACATACCCCCGGTGACGGGGAGCTCATCACCTCTCCACCATCCCAGCCCACGGAGGGATTGCCATGGCGCAGAAGTGGAACTGAAATCAGGCCACTAGCCAGTTTGGCTTAGGGGCTAGATCATCGGCCCACCGACTGAAGGGTCCTGGATCCGATTCCCGTCGAGGGCACGTACCTGGGTTGCAGGCTCGATCCCCGGCCCTGGTCGGGGTGCATGCAGGAGGCAGCCAATCAATGTGTCTGTCTCACGTCCATGTTTCTCTCTGTGTCTCTCCCCCTCCCTTCCACTCTCTCTAACCATCAACGGGAAAACATCTTCAGGTGAGGACTCACCAAAATAAATTTTAAAATAAGTCAGGCCACAGTCGCTTTCACCCACGGGATCTAGTTCTCCCGGTCAAATCACCCTTCTCCCCCCTCCACACTCGTCCCCCTAGCCCAGTGGTTCTCAACCTTCTGGCCCTTTAAATACAGTTCCTCATGTTGTGACCCAGTCATAAAATTATTTCCGTGGCTACTTCATCACTGTCATGTTGCTACTGTGATGAATCGTCATGTAAATATCTGATATGCAGGACGGTCTTAGGCGACCCTGTGAAAGGGTCTTTCGACCGCCAAGGGGGTCGCGACCCACAGGTTGAGAACCGCTGCCCTCGTCCATCCCCATGCTGGCGCCCCAGCTCTCTGCTCCCAGGCGTCTACGATGGCCTCAATGGTGCGTCAGAGCCCTGTGCTCTGGGCCACCCCTGCTCAGGCCAGGGAAGTGGTCGAGGGGGTCCTGAGCCAAAGTGGACGGTGGGGCTGCAGGGAGCCCTGGGAGTCGGGCCGCCTCCATCGGCCTCCCCCCTCCTCCCCGCGTGGGCCAGGGCTCAACTTGGCTCATCATTTTAGAGAGCTGGTGGACGAAATCTATTTTTTTTAATGTGTTTTTATTGATTTCAGAGAGGAAGGGAGACGGGGAGAGAGAGGTAGAAACATCAGTGATGAGAGACTCATGATCGGCTGCCTCCCGCATGCCCCCCACCAGGGATCGAGCCCGCAATCCGGGCATACGCCCCGACCGGGAATCGAACCGTGACCTCCTGGTTCCTAGGTCGACGATGGTCAACCCCTGAGCCACGCCGGCCGGGCTGGAATCTTGAACGTCCTCCTCCTTCCCCCTCCCGGGAAGGGGCTGGAACGGCGCTGACCGGTGGCCTGCCAGCCCATGCCGGGAAGGCAGAAAGCACCTAGTTGCCAAGAGGGTCACACCCTGAGTGACTCACCCCCAGGGAAGGGCTGGGGCGGCAGCTTCAGCCTCCGGGGGGCGACTGACCCTGAGCAGGCAGCCCCCCAGTTGAGCAGAGCAGCTCGCCCCCAGGCCAGCGATGCTGGGGGGAAGTTGGGGGAGATGGAGGCCCAATGGCTTTTGCCCACAGCTGACTGGTGGGGTCGGGGACGGGGGTGGGGGGAGCCGCAGCTCGGGCCTCCGGCTTCTGCCTCCCTTTAGGGGAAAGGGAACTGGGAGTCCGGGTGGCTTTTGTTTACATGGACCCGGGGCCGCTCTGCTGTTACCATAGGTTCCTATTGGTCCCCCAGGGCCCCCCAGGGAAGGTGGCCTGGGCAGGTGGGGGGCTCTGGGAGCAGGCTGAGGGCTTCCTGGGGGAGGTGGCCTGTGCAGGTGGGGGGCTCTGGGGAGCAGGCTGAGTGGGGCAGGAGGCGGCTGTGC